ACAATGCTTCTTGTTGACTTGAGAAACCTATAAGACACCAAGATGATGCTCTGCATGGTGGCTTTCCTCCAGGAGCTGTAGGTCACTGTAGAAATCCTGAGGGCTCTCTGTTGATACTGTAGCTTATTTTTCTTCAGAATGCTTGCCAAGAATGATGGCATAACATCAAACCAGTCGTAACCGAACCTTTAAGTTTCCAGTGGTTGCATTTTTCTGCAGACAAAATTGGGGCACAATAACTGACTTCTGGAATTCCATTACAGGGACACACAAATGGTATGTGTTGTGAGAGAACTACATCCTTTCCTCAGGTAGAGCCTACAATGGCATTATCTTGATGTTCTAGCATACATGACTTTTTTAATTCTCTTTAACTACACAGTTCTACTCTACTGACACTGAAAATTTCCGTAATGTGGGAGATTCTTGTGCTCTTATAAGCAAGTCATTTAGTTAACTGCAACTGCTAAGTGCCTGGTCCCTCGCCGATTTTGGGGGCTGGAGAAGGGTTACATTCTCTTGGGTCTTCTGCATTTTCCCATTGATAGTTACAAGGCTTTACACGTGTACGTCAGATTAGAGCTCTACCCTATGGGCATTCAGTAACTAACAGCAAATAACTGTCTTTGTGCACTACTTGTTACGTTCATGTGTTAGCAAACTAGATCGGTTTTCTGGCTTTCACCCCTTAGAATTTAGAGACTTGGCTAGTATTTTCTACAGAGCTAGCTGATACAGTATTTCTACCAACCGTTGCCTATTTCATGTTATGTTTATATGGCAAAATGCTAGTGCTAACGTTGTCTATAAGATAACTGAATAAAAACCTGTAAGCAGAAAAGTTCCTGAAGTTACCTCTCTCCTGTATTTTGTTTGATTGAGGACTATTTTTTGCGCATTAAGTAGAATTCTGTAGTTCACTAATATCTTTGGTTCCTGTTGCTTCTAGTCTGAGCATCAGAAGTGTATTCATAGTCCTTGAAAATCTATTTACATTTTTAATTTTTAATTGGGAATTCTTTGTATTGTGAAATTGATTTTAAAAATAGCTGTTACTAAGTAAATGGCTAAACTGCATTCTAGTAGCAAAAGCAGAAAGTAGTAGAACACATGGCTCCCTTGAATTGTTTTTCTCTGTTTAACATAGTTCCAAAGTGTAGGTTTGTAAATAGTTTTTTATAGCAAAAGTCACTGTAAAACAGGTTTATAATGTTGGAAGTATTACAGTAGGTTTGATTCACCTGTATAAAAGTTTATTCTGTTTCCTATTTTAGTAAAAAACATATGCATTTTAAATCAGTATTTTAAGGATCAAAAATACAATGCTAGTGTCTTGATACATGTGTGCAATCCTGTATGTAATCCTTGTAGGTTGTTATGCAGAAAATCCAAATAGATACATAGAAAGCAGAACAGTAATATTTTTTAACAATGTTTAATAATGTAGCCAAGATGTAATGGGAAAATGTAGGTCTTATAAGGCTGCCTTAGATTTTTGGGTCACAAATAATTTAAAGAAGTACTGAAACTAATTTCAAGGGCCCAATATGATCATATTGTACCTCTGTCAGTGGTGCTGTGGTCTACATAAAGTGTGTATATTAAAGGCAAAGTGAATGCTGTCCGTAATACTTCCAGTTGTTTTTAATTGGATAAACTAGAACATCCAATTTCATTCTCAAATATGTGACTTTTAATTGATCATATGGCTGGGTTATGTCATACTATGTGGCAGATGCAGATGATCTAGCTACTGCAGCTTTAGTAAGCGAGATACTGTGGATATACAAAATAATAAATTTGTAGATCTCATTTAAAAGAACTGTTAGTAATCTTAAATCTAAAGCTCTTTATGTTGACACTACTTGTAATATAGGAATAATAAAGTTTCTGAAGTTTAACTTCTAGTAAAGTTCTGGGTTAGTAACTAAAAGTTTCAATTCACGTTCGTCAGTGTTTACCGTTTGGATTGTAACTTTTGTTTAATTGTAGTATTGATGAGTATGTATTTACAAAAATATGGAAAAATGTCATTGAACTTTCATCATTAAACTGTGCTTATGCAGTCATTGAAACAAACTGTTGTCATCTCTATTAATTATTTTTAGAACATTAAGTTAAATGCTGTTGCAAAAAAGTCAGCCTTTTCGGCTCAGGTCAACATGTTTAACAAGGCTGGTCTTGGTACCTTCACAAAATTATTTCTTTAAAGGAGAACAAAAGCCTTTAAAGGCTACCAAGTAGCATTCAGAATGAAATACCACTGCTTTCTTAATATCTTTAAATTATGGACAAAACAGCTTTAATCAAATCATTCTACACAAAGAAGACATAATTGCCAGTGTTTTGTTGAAACAATAGTTCTTGAGGATGGGGATATGAAAAATACTTGACAATTGAATTGCAGAATTTTTTGATGGAATTATTTTATGTTCTTATCCTGTCCCAAGCGAAAACTTTACATTTGGCTTGAGTCATAAAATAAAGGAAGTAAGCTTAAAAAGAAGTTCAGAGAGGAACTGTGAAGGTCAAAAGTGTTGTAATTTGAGATGATTAATTTTGGGGGGGGGAGTAATGCATTGGGTTTGAGTCCTATAGTAGCTGTTCACGTAGCCACAGTTTCTGAAGAAATCCGAATAATTTTACTTGGGTTTGTGATTTGTCCCCTTGTGTCTTACTGTGTCTATGTTCTGTTTAAAAATATTCTGTCAGTGGTGACTGGTCTACAGCCAATGATAATGGTGACTTTTTGAATTTTCTTTTTAAGTGGTGCTCAGATGTGCTTTTTCTAAGCTGCAGACATGGTTGGTTATCACCTGAAGTGAGTGTTTGGTCCAAATACTGTTTTACCTTTTGACTTTATTGATTGAGTCACATGCTCTTTCAGTGGGGGTTGCTGTGATTACCACACCTTGGTGAATCACAAGGTTGTTTAAGGGATTTGTTTTTCTCTGATACCAGTTCTCAGAGCCTTTGCGTATTGGGCCACTTAATTAGCTCTTGAATCCAGAAGCCATAGGATCCTGTTCCTCTCTGGAGTCATTTGAGTGCTTTAACGTCATTTTGATCTCCTGTGAGGGATGGTGCTAGTTCTTGGTTAGTGTTGGGTTTGGTTTTCTTAATCCTGACACATGGGATTTTTGGTTTAATTGGTTTAGTGTAATGGCTTTTGAGTCACATCTGCAGTGGTAGCCGTTGACTGACTTCCGAATGGAAATTTGTATCTACTTAACTAATGTAGGGTTACCCAAATGAAGGACCGTTATTTTTATTTGTAATAGTGTTTCTGTGTAGGTGTCTGAAGAGCTCATTATATACTATGAAAAATCCTGTCTTGGTGAGAGGGTTGAAATGTGGTTTAAACCTTACCACAAAGACTTCAAAACACAATATTCTGGCCTCATTAAATGTAGCTATCTTTAGTTAAATTAAAGAAACAACCAAAAAAAAAACCAAAAAACACAACAAAAGTGAAACCAGCTGGCAACTGGACTAGTGCTGCAAAAAGGTTTTACTGACAGCCATCTTAGTCGTGCCATGGCTTTATACAAGTGGTTACAGTGGGTCTTACGGACTGTATGGAATGGAGCAGTAGGATTCTCAAGGTTGAGTGGACAATTTACATGTATGTGTGCTATCGCAACAATTCAGGGATGACCCTTACTAAAAAAAGTTTTTGGGAGCAATTTCTATGCAAGCAGACATGCAGGAAGCTGAAGAATTTTGCTTATTTGTGATGTTTTTTGTAGGTTTTAATCAAGAAGACAACACTGAGGGATTTCCTTCTGGGTTTCAGTGCTTGGGAGCTTCTTTCAAGGACTTAAAAGCAGTAATTACGGCTTCAGTCCTGGAGTCTGCACTAAGTGATCTAAAATTCTTCCAAACACAAGTAACTTTATAACATGGATTTCAAAAGGGGTATAGCCTGCAGACTTACCCTTGTTGGTAAGCTACTGAAGTAAAAGTTAGATCACTTTCCTTGCAGTATAACAGGAAGCAAACCACAAATGGTTAATGCTTCACTTGCAGTGAATGACTTAGAAGATCAGTGTTTTTCAGTGAAAAAAAGTAAAAAGCTTGTAAAATTCAAATGTGCAGTTCTTTTCCTTCAAAATGGTGTTGTGAATCCCTGGTTTTATGTAGATGATTTTTAGGTTCTGTAGATCCAGTCTAAAAATAAAAAGGTACATTTTCTAACTGCCTGCTCCAGTAGTAGAAGGCCTTAGAAAATCAGTCTTTCCCCATGTATTATCATGGTCTGCATCAGGTGTAATGCAGTTACAAGTGACTTGCAGTATAAGAACTCTTAAAATCATACTGTTTTAAGGACTTAAAGCAAGAAACTTAGGAAAGTGTTGGAAGTCCCTGGCTGTACGAGCTGAGGTCAGCCTGAGAGGATTTTGGTTGTTCAATACCGTGAAAAAAGGGGAACAAAATTTTGTAACTATATTGATATATATAACTTTGAAGAAGTTGCTATTTGAAATGAGGAATATTGCAGTGTCATTTTTCAGTGTTTATCAAAACCAATCACTTAAGTTGATTTTAGCAATGTAGGTTCTGATTATTTTTTCTTGACAAGAAAGTACTACTTTTTTATTTTTATATTATTGCAATATATTACACTCTGCTCATGTTTTTTGTGTTTTTTTTTTTCTTTTTCACTCTGGAGGAAAGTTCCTGTGGAAAGGAAATAGGAACCAAACTTTGAAATCTAAAATAAGGACTAAACTGCTTTTCATTTACTTTTCTGCCCTTTGAGATGCCAGAAGCAATTTCCTCTTGAAGCTGACTTCCTTTCTGGAAATGATTTTCGTCTCCAACCATGTTGAGGCTCTTTTCTCATTCTTTCATTCTGACTAACTTGCTTTATTTCCCTCTCACTGCTGTTGAGAACTTCTGGAGGTAAGTAGTTACAGACAAGCTTCTAACTTTCTTTTTCAGTTCTTCTACTCCCTTCTGCCCCCCCCGCCCCCCCCAGCCAGTCTAGAAGGACAAACAAAGCACTATTGGTGTCCTCTGCGAGAGAGCCCTGATAGGGGGCTGGCTGTAAATTGACGTGGCATGGAAAATCTCTGCTAGTTTGTAGCAGCTCTAACACTGCCGTGAAATCAAGCCTACTCTTGCCAAGTTTGTAGCTTGAAATCATCACGGGCTTGCTGTTTCTATATAAAAAAATGAATGGAAAGTACCTTGGCTTTTTGATTTGGGAACTGGACTTTTTCTCTGTCTGGATTTACAGCTAATAGAAAACAAAATCAAAGGGAATTACTTGGATACTTTTTCTTTTCCCCTGTAGTGAGAGCGACAGATCTTGCTGCTCCCCCCAGCCTTTTCCTGCAATTTAATCACTTGCAGATCTTGCCATGGGGTGCGGACTGAGAAAGCTGGAAGACCCAGATGATAGCAGCCCTGGAAAAATCTTTTCTACATTGAAGAGACCACAAGTTGAAACAAAGACGGATTCTGCTTATGAATATGTATTGCTGGATTTTACTCTAGAAGGTATCTTTTTATGTTTACTATGCAGAGAAAGCAAGGAATAAGATTTAACTCTGTTCTGTCTTATTTAACTTACAGTAAATCTTAGACACATTTTGGCTAGCTTTGATAAAAGTAAGACTTTTATTTTGAAACACAAATCATGGTGAAGGTCCTCACTTATATAAAATTACAATGGAAACTGCTGAAGTATTTTTAACAACCAAACCCTCCAAATTACACAGCTGACCTTGTCAAGGAAGCTGGCTAAAAAACTGTTAAGAGATTTTTCGTAGTTTCCTGTGAGTCAGATGCTGCCATCCTTACTCACTTTGAATAATGGCTGTGTTGCATTCAGTGTGATGGTTCAGAAAACACACTGTGCTGAGCCTTAAGTGAGTAACAGTTTGTAAAAATGGACTGAACTTCCAAAAACAGGCTGTCATTGTCCTTGCTACTTTATGCAGAAGTCTGTTGCTTACATGTATATCAGGAGTAGCTTCCCCTCTTATGCCCACCCCAGCGTCTCAGCAGGTATTTTAGTAAGAGCCTTACAGTTTCATCTTACTATTTTTTTCTGACTGCTTTACTTGTAGCTGCTGAATAGTCTTTTGAGATTGTGACCGAAATAAACCAAAATTTGTATGCGTAGCTAGAGGCAGACAGTGCTCTGTGGGATACTTCCTTCCCGAGGGTGTCCTGTCTCTAACAGAGCAACTCCCTGTTCCACCAACTTGAAAATATAAACAAGCCCAGATGGCTGCCCTCTGAGAACAGACAACTCAGTTTTGCAGTCACTTTGTAGTAACTTGCCTTTTATAACAACCCAGTCTATTGGAAATGCTTGATAATAAGGGTTTGAAGTAAATGCAATTGCTAGAAAGGTTGAATAAAGGGAGAAAAGTGTAAGTGCATGTTGTGTTACGTTTTAGGAATTTGCTTGTAAACAAAACTTAGCCTCTGCTTAGTTTTAACTAAAGGTCCATAGTAACAGGTTTATTTGTATCAGTCTATTCATGTATCAATCTGTGTCAAAAACCTGCAAAATACTTCTAGAAGCCACATTCTATTATTATACTTGACATCCAACTGTATTTGTTTTTCTGTTTCTCTCCGCAAACAGTTTCTCATCGGCTTGTTCTTTTTGAAGAAATGTTATGTTGACTGTAGTAGTGGTAATGTACTGGAAGTAAAGCTAAGCTGCCAAGTGCATACCTAGTTTACCTACTGATAACAGAAGGGATAACGAAACAATTTTTTTTGAGACTGAAGATCATTCATTGTTCTGGATAGTTTTGCTGTGCTTTAAAGTAACAAGTTTCTGAAAGTGTTGTGTAAAGCCTTTGTTGTAAAGGTGGTTGTGACTTTAAAGAAAGAGCACATCAAACAAGTGCAAATAAAGGTGCATCTATTTTAATAACCTCTCAGTACAGCAGTAAAAGTTTGGTTTCCCCTGTACAGTCTGATATTCAGAAGTGCTTAGCTTCGTTGACAGACTGTGGAGTTTTAAATGCTAAATAAGTGAGATCCATTTCAAATAGTTGCCTAACTTTTTAGACTTCTAACTGTAAGCAAGTTGATTTTAAACTGTTCTGTTGAATGGTTCTAGCTGTGTGTCTATTTGGCCTTAAAATACTTTTTGTTTGGGGTCTTTACTTTTTAGAGCCAGGATAATGAGTACAGGAAAAAAAAGTGTTTACTGTCTTGGAGGCATTTCTGAGTTTTGTTTGCTTATGAAATACAGGGATTGGCTAAAGTACTATGGGGAATATGTTGGGCTTCCTCCCCGCCCCCATTTCCCTTCAGTTCACTCGCATACTTGCTGCTACTTGAATATCCTTTAGCTAGATGAAACCTAAGTGAGAGCCTTTTAGCACTTTAGCTCAAAGTTTTCACTCCACTGTCAAGATGTATATGATGTATATTGTCTTCATGGCTCTCTGGTGGTGTCCAGAGCAGTATCTTCCCCAACATCTGAGACTGCCATTTGCCTGAGTGACTTGTTACCACCACTTTATCTTGGTAGTACCAAGTAAAACTGAAAATCTGTGCTAAGTATCCTTTGTAAGATACTACAGTAAGCTATGTCCTGCATTAAGATAAAATTATAGCAAGCATAAATGTGTTACTTCAATTTGCTATTCCTTATTCCCTGCTTCGTCATCTGAAGTTGAAGTGAGCCTGCTGGGGAGACTTTCATGAGTCCCTGATCTTGTCCCAGGCCGTGATGCAGACTAGGTCAACTATGCTATAGTCTAAATCCACTGGCTGAAGTCCTTGTGCATCTAAACTGGTTACCAGCAGTGTACTGTACCTTGGCTTCTTTCTTCCTGGTCCCCAGAATACTCCCATTCCAACTGTAAAAATCAGCTTTGAGTTCTGTGGAGGTTGTTCTGCATTAGGAGAATCCCTAACAAGAAAATGACAGCCAGTCTTTTATTTTGGTGGGATTTAATAGTACAAAGGCAAAGGAGCAGTGGACTCTGAAGTGTAATTTTAAATGCCTGTCAAGGACTGTAAATTCTGCAGTCTCAATCATGAGGCATATCTTGGTTATGAAAACAGCTGTTATTTTTGAGGTCAGTTTAGCCATAATGTAGAGGTAGTTTCGGTGTATCTACGCAAGCAGATGTTTATGCTTTATTCACAGCCCTCCTCTTAGGGAAAAGAGGGAATATTGATGAAGCCCACTAAGATGACATGCTGTGAAGTTCTTGTCACTCTGAATAGCATTTTGAATATGTATGAAGTAGCTGTTTTGTCATCATCTTCAATGTCATGCATCTGAAGTTTACTATACAGCTACTGATTTAGCTGCAGTTCTGTTACTAGTGAAAGTATTTTGGCTACCTGTTGACACTACATTAGGAAGGAAATTTTCTTAATGAAAAATGGTTAAGACATTTGTAAAATGAGCTATGATCATACATTCCTGCTTTTCTGGCTTGTGGGCTGTAAAGCAGTTGTTTCTGCATTACATACTTAATGTCTTCTAGACTTACTGTGAGTAGAATCATGGGATGGAGGCATTCCGAAGGGCAAAATATCATCTATCTGTGAAAGGCAAGCTGTGATATACTGTCTGCTTAAAAAAATGAAAGTCAAGATAGCACAAGAAAGTGAAACAGCCCATTCCTTATGACTGAAAACAGCAGAGTTTACATTAAGAGGTTGACTTTGCTAGTTATCAGCAATAAATCATTGATATATATACTAGTGATACTCTTTGGTAGTGCATTTCTTGTAGTATACATGATTCTGGTTTCTCTTGATAGTTTTTCTAAGCTATTAAAGCTCTTATGGTGACAACCAAAGTAGGCCTCCCTTCCTTTTTCCCTTTAGTAAAAGTTGGTATTTAAAACCACTGGAGTGTTGGAAAACATTAGTTTCTGATGGGTTTTTTTTTTGTTGTTGCTGTTTTGTTTCTGTTTTTTAAAGCTCTCCATAATGTATCTATACCAGTATTATCCCCATTTTATAGTGGGAAAGCAGTGTAGAGGTTGATGTTTTACAGAACACATTACTCATGAGCCAACAGAATTCTTGTTCACTTTCCTAGAATTCAAGATTTAAGCAAACTAAATATTCATATATCTGGTTTGTGATGCTTTAAACCAGTAGGATAGACAGACCTTGTGACTTTAATAAAGCCCTTCAATTCCTTGCTGTTGCCCACCTACAGTAGAGGGAAGGTATATAAGAGGATGTAAGAACATGAAATTAACTCTTGACAAGTACATTTACATATTGGTGAATGAGATTTATGTCATTGTATTTATGTATTTTATATAAATATTACAGAATCAAAGGTGAATGGGTGTATATAACTGTTTTCAGCTTATTGTCTAGTTTGAAAGGGGATGTTTAGAGCAGCATGTTCAAATGTTTTTATCTCAGAACAAGTGTTGTGAGGTCACTTAATTCCAGTTAGGGCATCCTTTAATACAGTTGGACACTGGTCTTAATGAACTGAAAGTATTGCAAAGAAAGGGAGGGACCCACTAGAACACAAAGAAGTACATCTCTTGGTGCAAGGGTCACTGATAAAGACCATCAAATTCCAACCCAAGCTGTCATAAGAATTTATATCTGCAAACGATGAAGATTTTGATGATGACAAATATATGCTGGCATAAGTACTGTTTAGTTACAGTCTGTGCATAAGTATTGATTTCATGCTTTCTGGGAGCATCTGCAATTCCAGTTGGAGTTGAGGGGAACAGGAAATCCTGACCTGCCACAGACTGACTGTGGCAGAATATATCATATATTACCAGTGTGGAATCTTCCTTTTCTCTGTGTGAAAGCTGTGGATCAGACCATTCTTCAAAGAGTTTTCCCTTTATTTCTGTAGTCTCCCTCAGTAGCCATGTAGTGCCTAGCTCTTACCTGTTGGTTGGAAATGCTTGCACACACTCCAAGAGACCCTCTTAGAAATTATTGACACTACATAGCTTACTTAAGTGACATGCGCTTAGGTCTGCTGGAAAAGGGACTTGGGACCATGTACATGAATTTGCCTCACAACTAGGGTTGAAGGTTATTGCTTCAGAATGTTTGAGGCTTTGGCTAGGCAAAATAGTTGCTTTAAGTTCAGACCTATTGCGTGTTTAGATGTTGATGTAGCTCTTGAATTAGCTTGGCAAAGCTAGATCCTACAGAAAGCATTGCCAAATAGATTAAAAATATATCAGAGTAACTAGTAAAAAATATGTACTTCAACTAGTTGAATACTGTTGCATCAGTTGTGAGTCTGCTTTTCCTTGTATAAGTAGGTGTGTAGCTTCTTAGTAAAGCCTTGGGATAGATTTTGTGTGGCTTATATAAAAGGAGCTCACCCCAAAAGTATATGGGCATACACAGAATCACATGCTTCTCTTCTGCTTTCAATGCTTTTAGCTTCCTCAAATCCAGAAGTCATCAAGATCAGTTCTGTGTTGGATATAGCACCTAAGGTGGAAGAATATTACAGCAAAGGATATGTTGTAGGAGCTCTTCATCCTATTATGCTGCCAATTGGACGTAGAAGGAGTTTCCCTGCAAGTCACATGTATCGAGTGGTTCTTTCACGATTAAAATTAAGGTAACAGTGAAATAAGTTGAATACTTTGATTCATTACTGAAGTTGTCTATAAGTGGATTGCTCAACATATGCATAGTTTATTACCAACTTGAGCACCTCAGAGAATGAAATTAGTAATATTTATTCATTAACATGAAGCACGCAATAGGCTAATGTTTACTTTGCCTCTGAATATGTCCAAACAAAATCCAAAGTTGCATATCATCACTTGTGGGAAGATAAATTGTTAGTTTACCCTTTTACTTTTAATACATCTTTGTAGTAAAGTATCATCTGTCTTAAAACCTGCAGCAAATGCAAGATTACACAAAACACTAAGGGAGTAGTAAGCTGCTTTAAATTCTCTCATGTCTATTTTTTGTTCTTAAATTTCAAAACTTTCATGTTTTCACTCTTCCCATAAAAGCATTATTTAGGAAAAATGACCTATAAAGTGTGAATTAGTTTGTCAGAGTTTATTTTTCCATCTTAATAAGAAGGAAATACTCATTATGTGAATGAAGCTCATAGAAAAGCTTGGTTTTGATACTGAGGGATAGTCAACGGTTTGTGTTTGTGTTTAAGCTCCATAGTCTTGTTTATTATACCCATGTTCACTGCATTGTAGTCACCATGTGTTCATAGAGAAAATGTACAAAGAAACTTTGCCATTAGTTCCTTTGAATGCAAAGAAGGTAACCTGTTTATCTTATTTTGAATAACTAGAAAAGCATTACTTCACTGAAGAGCTGTCATGTTTCCTGCTTTGATCCTGAGTCATAGTGCAAGGCACAAAGGTTCTTTCATTTTTTCTTGGAAGACTGGAAGGGTGCGAGTTGGAAGGTGCCCCTTGCCAATCCAGTAATTCTGCTGTAAAACATGGTTCGTTTGAGGGCGCTTCTCAAACACTTTGCTTAAACAAGCATAGTTTGTGGCATTTGCTGCTCATACAGCTCTCCTTTATAAATCCATCTGCAAACGAGGTGAAGGTTGTCCATGTGGGCAAATGCTTGAGTAAGAGAAGCAGAATATTTACTGTCTGGAGCTGAGGCTTCTAAGAGGCAACACTGACAGCAGACAACCCCCACAACTTGTCCTGTCTCTATAGATGTGGCATCCTTATGAATTTATGGTTTGAACCATTAGGCCCTTGAATAGGTGGCAGACAAGACCCTGCAGCCTACATGTGAAATTGCTGGGTGTAGTTTCCCAATTTCCTATGCAGGTATGCCATATGTACAGTTGAGGGTCTCTCGCTGATGCTTCATTCTAAAGCAAAAAACTGTGTGAAGGAAGTATCAAATAAAATCCCATTATATTACTGATATACACCAAATACTGTTGTTCGGGTAGTAACCTAACTGGCTTTAGATACAGCACGATGAGTACTGTTATTTAAACGAAAGTTAAAGCTTGTCAGATTCTCATATCTGAGTGATTTAAGTATTACCTAACCCAAAGTAATTGTTACTGCATAGTATTTCTAGTGTTTGCCTACACTGTATTTCATCCTGTAGCTGCAATTCTGCTTTACTTACCAAAAAAATAGAGTAGCATGTTAACAGTGTAAAAGATCCATTTCTATTCATACTGTGTTTTCTACAAAACTGAACCTGGTTTGTCCTTGCTACATTTATAGCTTAAATTTGTATTTTTTGCATTATCAGAGATTTTGTGGTTTATTTATTACAAAAGCAGGGCTGTTTGTCAGTAAGGCTCAATTTCCAAAAGATGTCTATTAACAGTCTTCACTGAAATTCTTAAATATTACTGTTCTTACCCTGACATTGTAATAGATAATACCTGCCACTTCATATAAGAAACAGAACAAAACACCAAACCCCACTGAGCTCTACATAAAAGTATGAAGAAGCATTGCCAGGGTTTTATTCATAACTGTTCCAAAAGAAAAGAATTCTATATGCAAGCATTTGCCAAAGTTAGCAGCAAACTACTGACAAAGACTGCTTTCTTTCTGTGTCCTAGCCAGAAGCATGCAGCACCCAGAGGACAAAGGCACCCCAGGCTGCTGATTGAGGAATGTCCTTTAATGTATGAAACACTGACAAACGAGGTAGTGAAAGAACTGTTAGAAAAGGTAATGGAGGGTTTTCTTCAAACTTCTCTTCAGATATTTTTTTCTACCATATATATACATTCTGTTGAGTGGTTGATGGGTTTTTACTTTTGAGTTTTAACCTTGGGTTATTTCATAAAAGCTAAAAAGTCTTTTTTTGAAGTGCAGGCAGTTATTTTTTCTTCACTAGTTGTTTTTTCTAATTTAGGACTTGGTACTAAGCCCTGTAAAGCTTTGGGAAACTGGCAGTTTGCACCACTGAAAGTAGAATGAGGCCCAGACTCAGTCAGTCTTTATAAAATGCTTGTATGATAGCTTTTTCTGGAATTAAGAAAAAAAATCTGAAGTTTTATGTTGCTCTGGGTTAAGTTGGGTATTCCTAATGAACGTGAATACATTCAATTTTTAAGTAAGATTCTATAGCAAATATAAAATACCCACTAGGCATAGCTTTTAAAAATACTGTGTAGTTAAAGAAAACTGAACTTCCAGTGGCTAGTTCTTTTTGTGCTTAACTTCCTCTGCAGAACTGAAGACTTGCCGAAACAGGAAACTGTTGTTATTACAAGAGCTACAGTGATATCTTTTACTTTAGTTGCCAAGGAAAGTAGTAGAGGAGAAAGCATACTGGAGATCTTTAATGACCTCTGAAATTATCACAGAGGTTTTTAAATCCAGTATTTCCCAAGTGATTTCTTCTTTCTGGGCTGGGGTTTCTGTATTTTCCTGGAAGGACTTTATTGCACAGGGGGGTTTGTGGCACAAGATGGCAGTGGGATCAGCTTTCTAAATGGCAGCACTCCTTATCCCAGGGTAAAAAAAAAAAATAAACCAAAACTCTACCACCAGGAACAGACACATCTCATAGGTGATGCATATTCTACAGTTATATTTTGAGAGTTTGGTGCAGAGAAAAAGACCCACCACTGGCTGAAAGCAGAGTAAAGTGGGTTTTATTTTGCTTCTAGCTCCCTCCTTCCTGTTTCTTCGCTGTTCCCAGTAATAGTGAAGCTGAGTGGCCTCTGAGGAAGCCTGAGGATAATGAATCACGACACATGACAAACATATTTCTATAGCATTAGTGGTCAGTAATTTTAGAATGACTGACTTCTATCACATGTTTAGAGAAACAGTACTATTTTATCATGCCACTGTACTGCTTGTCACTGTGACATAACAAGTAAAATACTTTGCATTTGTTTGAAACGAAGTACTTAGTACACTGAAGTCAGTACTGGCTTTGGCCACCTCTCTTGGCCTGAGTCCAAAGACATGCTGGAAGACTTCCATTTACTTTGAAACATGGGCAGTGTGCAAAGACAAACCACCCTACTGTAGTATAGTGTAATGTCTTTATGTCCCTGAAAATCAGCAGTAGTTAAACAGAACACATATATAGAAGTTTGGTGGTGATTAGGTTTGTTGGTTTGGTTTTGGTTTTTTTGATTTACATGCAATTCTGAAATCGCTGTTGTAAATGCAGGTTAACGAAGCTGCTAAAAGAGGAAAGAAGTTTGTGGGATTTGTAACACAACATTTTCCTCAACCTAAAGCCTGTAATGGAACAAGCACAGATGGAAGTGCAGAACTGGAATCAACACTAGGTAGAAGAAATAGAGAACACAGAAGAAAAAATTCTGATGAAAACTATAAAAACTGGCATGAAGGGACATTGAGTGGTCACTCATCTGAGAGCGGAATAGAGGAGGAAATGCAAGGAGAAAGCAGTCTGTTACAGGATGCAGATTTCCAGTTTGGAAGAGAAGTCAGCCCTGTTAAACCCCGGAAAGGAGACGGTAATAAATGCTGCTTGTTTACTGCAGAAATAAGGTGGTTTTAAAACAGAAAAAACAACAGTATGTTCTACTGTATCAAGTACTTATTTTCAAAGATGCATCTTGTTAAATCCGCATATATTTCTACATAAGCTGCCAGCTGAAGAAACGGAATTTACCTTCTCTATGTGTGTGTGGACTGTGGTAATATATTACAATATTTCACTTTTCATATAGAATATTATAAATTCTAGTTTGTAGTTTAAAGGAAAAGGAAAAACCCAAACCAACAAAAATTGCCTGCAGTGTAATTCTGATTTTAAAAATGATGCAAGCGTACCTTTTTTTTTTTTGCTTCATATGTATGTAATATGTGGCAGTAAAAAAATTTTAGGATGAAGTTTTAAATCCTTTTCCTAAATGCTTATAGTTTTCACTTAAATAATAAACGTGTAATATATTGCCAAGAATGTATTATGATTATTCCAGTTCTGCCTGTTTGAAACTGACAACAAAGAGAGCCTCTTCCAGCTAGAGCTGTAATTTTATGTGCTTCTAGCCACCTTGCATAATGTACCTAAACAAATCTGTTCATAATGGATTATTTCTGGTTAACATGCCTTCAAAAAGCATCCTGAAAGAGAGCACTTAAAATAATGCATTGACCATGAAATCAAAGAGAATAATTGTTAAAAAATGAATTTGCACCAGAGAAAAGTAAGCATTGAAAAGGAAGTAGTATGGGAAGGAAAAGTATCACTGGGAAATATTGGTGCTGTGGTAGAAAATTTAGTTGTAGAAGATATTTTGCCTATGTCTGTGTGAGAGAGTGCCTGAAACAGTGACTTCTGATACTGAAGCACTGTAAGGCCTCCTGACTTTCTAGGAGGGAAAGGTAAAAAGGAAGAAGTAAAGCATGAGAACTAATGCAAGATAGTAATTGTGTAGAAAGTGGGCAGCATGAAACTTCCATGTCAGATTACATTTTGACATAATAGGTTCTTCCCTGATGGGCCAGACATGTTTTAATTGCTCTCAAAAGCAACCTTTTCACTTTCCTGTTAAGAGCTAAGCCCATTCTCCAGTCTGTAGACTGTCAGGATGATGATGACTCCAAGCACTGAGAAAATTCTTCTTATTCCTTAACAGTTTTATTAAAGGAGTTTTGGTGTACAACTCAGCCTTTATAGAACAATCTGTTAAAGCTTAACTCTTTTCCTTACAATTTGAAATACTAGGTTTGTTACATGTAGCAGAATAAAAAACCTCTAAGTAAAAAGCAGGAACTCGTTCTTCTGTTAAGGAGCTTCGTTAGTATATTCCGGTATGGCCAGCTAGAGTACCAAGCAGTGCACTGATGTGAATTCTCAAAGGCAGTCTTACATCCATGTAGGTATGTACTGCCACTTCAGTATGCCATTTCTATTTAGGTCCGCTCAAAAGATGCAAAACTCATTTCTAGAGTTCTAGATTTTGAGGTCATAACAGAAGAATCTTGACCACTTGCAAATGCCCAATTTCTGATATTCATGAGCAATTGAATAGTTGTATTAGGAGACTTGGTAGTATTTTTTCTGAATAAAAATGACAGTGATCTCACTTTAGTATATGGGAAAGGAAACGAAGGCTTGTCGGGATTAACACAACCACTTGTGGAGGAAGTAAAATAAAACTGTATAAAAAGGAGAGTCATCTCTTACTGATAGAGTTCCAAATTTTGTCCTTAGCGCACCTTATTCCAGGCACCTGATGTCACCTGCACTGTGTGTGATAAACAGAGGTTCTCCCAGAGTTTGAATTGGACTACTTAACAGTCCAGATCCACCTTTGGAAATCTCCCCCTATTTCTAGAGCCTAGAGAGACTAGCATCTTAACTGGTGTCAGCTAAACCAAGTTCCTTTGTTTTGGCAGTGTGAATACTACTGCTTTCTAGAGATTGGTTTATGTTAATTTAAGCTGCTCAGGTACTGAATTGTTAAGATGGTCTGAGAGCAGTTTATATATATAAAAAGCATTTGAGGATATGCAGGTTTTATGTTCTTAACTCACCATTTACTGTGTGGGAAACCCCAGTAGGTAACTAATTATATGGGTACTTAAGTCATCTTCAGAAAGTAATGGGTCAAAATCAGTACTGTACAAAGCATTCCTGGTACTTTAAAAAAAAAAAAAACAACAAACAGAAAATTGTCTTCAGTCTTCTATTAAAGTAATTTCAAATATTTGTAGTCAGAGTTCCATGAGTAGCAGAAATGGACCCTGTTTCCACTGGGGTTTTCGTAGCTTTAGTGTATTGTCTCCATGCAAAACCCACCCACCTAAAAGGTCCAGTGACAACCCAAGTGTAATATGTTCAAATTTTTCTTGTATCCCAGAGTGTGTCCCCCTCACACTTATCCTGAGTGTGTTTAGGGCTCAAGCTGAGTACAGTCACATCAGGAAACTATCCTTGAAAGTATTGCTTAGAGTTAGAAACCCGTGTTGACATAAGAGATTAATAGTGGTTTTATTTTGGAGCACTGTCTTCCAGAGGTTCATTCTCTTTTCCTTTTTCTTAGACAAGCTGTATACAGTCTTCAATGTTTTTGACGACGATTCTACCTGCTGGACCTATCACGAGGGCGTCTTGTCTATGAAAGTAACAAGAAAGGGGCCAGTTATTAGTACGCTGGAAGCAGACTGGCTAGAATTAACCACATTTTATTATAAACAAGGATTGTCATTAATTGATTCATTTGTACACTGGGAAACTTCTAAAGGTGAGTACTGTCCCCAAATATCATGGAGCTTTTGTCTGTTTATGTAGAAATACATCATGTGTAAAAGGTAAATCATGTTTTGCTGCTTGGTGTGAAGGGCAGTATGTAACCATGGTCAGATAATCATTGTAAATTTATCGAATCTGACACCTGAAAAGAGAATAACTTGGGATTTTGGGCAGTTGTAGCTTTGAATAACTGAAATTCCTGCTTTGTTTTATCAAACTGAGGATTTCCAAAGCAGTAGTGTAGTGTTATCATGAAGTTAATCTTTTATGCTTGGGGGGGGTTTTGTTGTTTTTTAAGGAAAAGATAAGGGGGGGGGGGGAAGAAAAATAATTAGGTAGATGTTTCCCCTCATGCTTATATTCTGCTGGTCACTGCAGATACCTGTGCCGGGCTCTGTTGAATACTTCTATTGAGACAAAAGAGCGCTTTGAGTTCTCATTGTGCTTGTTGTACTGTTACCTAAGTCAGACTTCCGTACTTCCTGCTCTCTCAGCTACTTGCTGGGCTTAAAAATTCTTTCCAAAACACCCAAGTTGCATTAAAATTCAACTGTTGATCCTGAAGATTCAGGATGTTTCTGCAGGTTGTTTTAGTCAGATGTAGACGTACACAGAATAGAGAAATCTGGGTTTTCTCCTTGCCCTCAACTGTAGGCAGATCCTCCGAGACCATTTTACACGGCTTGGGGAGAAGTTTTCCCTGGTCCCTCCTTTACTCTTTTGCAAGAATCTACCAGCTCAGTTAACACTCAGATTGTTACAATGGTAGAGCTTCAGGCCACAGGATTTTCACATTTTCGTCTTTATTCTGCCAGTTTCAGTTCTATCTCAAGTTTTTATTCTGGCAGATCATACTAGCTCCTTCAGGGTTGCTAGCCTTCATCCTCCCAGTGAACAAACACAGGCCTGATGTCAGGAGTGCCCATTGCTACACACCCTGCTGAGCACAAATCCGGCGCTTTGGCAGAGCTGTGAGATAGTGCTGTATCCCTGCTGATAACAGAAGCAGCTCTTCATTGACTGAAGTATTTTGAACTCTAAAACTTTGTTGTTGGTAAAATGTGTAATTAAAAGATTAATTTCCATTTGAACTGAATTTGTCTGAGAGCCAGAAATTAGAAGTGTTGAAAAAAATAGGATGTAGCTACTGTTGCGCAATTATGCAAAAAGAGTGGTACCCAAGTGTTAGGGGAATAGACCAAGAAAGTCTGACATAGTTAAGTGTTTCAGAATTTATTAATTATTGTAATAAATATTGTTTGATAACAAACTTAGAATTTGTACTTCAGTTGTGTGATACTTTGATTGGATTTGTTCGTGAGTTCTAAGTTGTTGGTGCCCCTTCAGAATCACTTACGGCAGTTCACGGTAGGCAAGCAAAACACAGGGCTGCAGTGGAGAAGAGTCTTGCAAAAAGGTGTCAAGGACCTTAAACACTTTTTGCAGTACACACGCTGATAATCAAGTGTAGTACTTTACTTAATAATGTATTAAAGTGGCTTTCATAACTCATTTTACTCATCTGCTTCTTACAGGAATTATACAAGGAGGATAGAATCACTGGGGTTTTGAGTAGTTCTAATACTGTGTGTCTAATGCTTTTTTCTGATATTCTGATTTAAAATAAAATGCATTCAGCATCCCCTTTGTAAGCTTTGGGTTAGCAAAGGGCTTTAAAAAAAAGGAAAACGGAAAATCTCTGGAAGTTAGATGATGTAGATCCTTCAAAATTCAAAACAAATAATGAGAACTCAGTTTTCATTGTTCTCAGTAGTTCAGTTTTGGGTATGAATCACGGCGTTTCTGGAGCTCTGCAATACAGTACATTTAGTGATTGTCAGAGGAACAAATCAACATCATAATATGTACCACAGATTGAATTTGGCAGCTGCTCTCTCTCAAACTGCCTATTCTGTGCACTTAAACTGTCTAATCATGCAGTCTGCATTAGTCATCTTTTTTTGCTCTAAATTATAATTCCTATCTGTTGAAGTCAGTGGAAGAGCAAAGTTTCCTTTGGGGGAGGAGAGGTGAGAAATCAAACTCCTAGTTTTCATTACAGATATTTTAGAGCTGGAAAAAAACTCTCTGGAGGTATGTTATAATTCACTGAGGGCTGGTTTTGGCAGCTGTTGATACTAATCTTTGCAGCTGTTGTCCAACAACAGTTTTACAGTCTTTTCATTCCCCTGTAGCTGTCTGCCTTTCTCTATGTGAATAACTTTAATACCCAGGTTATGACTTACTTAGGGATTTCATGCTGCTTCTTTGCAGCAGTTGGTGCTTCTGCTTCAGCCCCACTTGACTGGTATGTATTTCAGTTAGATTTATGGGTGGGATGCTGCTGAATTAAACTGGCAATATTCAAATGCACAGGTCACTATGTAAATGGAATTCTGCAGCTGGTAAGTTTCTGTAACCACAGTAAGAAATTAATTTAGCTACCGAGTTCTTAAGCTAAAACATTTGTTCTTGAGGTGAATATTGGAGAGCTTTATAACCAGATTTTGGTATTCAGCTAAGGGAAACCTAGAATGCTTTTTTGGAAAGGAAAAGCATTTAAGCACTTGGACTCATTACTAGAATTACTTCTTGCATGTCTGCATATACATCTAATTGTCATCTTCACCTCACTTTTATTTGATTGCTTTTAAACGGTGAGATATATGTAGCAGTAGTTGTTCTTTTATATAGCTTTAATGAAAAGAGCAAATTTTATCTACCATTTAAATAAAAACAAAAACACCAATCCAACTCAGACAGCTGCAGAAATCCTCCTTTGGTTTGGACTCTACAGATGTTCTGTAGAGTCTGCAGAATTCTGTTGTTACCAGGATCAAAACGCAATACCCAATTTAAGGTAGGAGAAAGTTTTAACATTAAAAGAATTAAAAAATCATTGTCAAATCCTAATAATCACTAATTTCTGTGTTCTGCTGCCAAAAGAGGATGCAGTCATAAAAGCAATCCAGGTAAGTCCTTTTATCAGGCATTTGGATCACTGTAGTGTTTCTGCCGTTTGTAACTGCCTTGAAAGGCTCTCATTATCATAGAAGTACCTAAGATTAGTAGAAGTGCCATGGCAATGGCAATATTTTTGCTTTTTCTGCTTTATTTTATTTATAATGCAGCATTTTTTATTTTTATTAATCTTTAAGTACCGATATTAACAAAGATAAACTACTGTAACTGACAGAATGGGCAGGTGAACCCATTAGCCACATGTAGCTTTTTCAGTAGAAGTGAATTTGATATTCTACACTTTATGAATTATCAGTTTGTGTCAAAATACCAATGAGTGGAGTTATCTTGTGTCAATAGTGTTTAAAATGTAGTTATTCTATCATATTTGAAAAAAATGGGAATATGCAACCATGTTGTAGGTGGGCTGCCCATTTTAAGTATTTACCTGCAGCCAAAGAAAGGTAAAAGTCCATGAGTTTCTAAGATTGAGTATTTATGAATTGCTAGGAGCTGTGCAGATATTCATGTTTGTGCCTGAAGCTGTATATTTGGCTCCATGTACAGTCACATTATAGTTGTGCATCTAAAAACAACATGTCTGATATATTTGCAAATACATTGAAGAGATATGTATGCATGCAAATATCTAATCATAACTTAAACTACATAAATCTGATACATGCAATATAGCAAAAAATAGTATGAAGAAATAGTTGGTATTTTATGGTACATTAACATGCGTGCTCAAAAAAATGGGAATTCCTGGTTTACATAGCATAGCTTCTGTGCCAATCTCATCAGTTTTTAAAACCAGACCACTTGTGTTACAGAAGTTTTCTTTGTTTGCTAGGTGTTTGGGGTTTTTTTTCTTTAAATCTGTCTGCCTTCCTCGAGTCTGTGGCAAAAGCAATCAGATAATTTTACTGCTCACATTTAGTTCAAGATAGTCAGCAGTTAAGGTACAAAAGGCTTCCAGTGGCTCTTAGGAGAAGCAAAACCATAAAATGAACCAATATCTGATGCTCAGCTTCAGTTTGGGCTAACCAGATACTCTCAGGTTTCAACAAGTGAGTCAGGGATTTGTGCTCTGAAACTTCCTTCCCAGCAGGAGTTAACTTCCGTTTGAGGCTCTTCCTGTGGCCATTTCTGTATTTATTCAAGTAACAGTAGCTAGGCACGTCATGCTTCACTTATCTTTATGGTCTCTCCCACCACACTAAATGCCACACTTACTGTCAGCATACAATGTCGAAGCTGAGTAAAGAAGGTTTATGCCCATCTGGTGCAGGGGATATGCTGAATACAGGAAACTGGAATTCAGATCCAAGCATTGAAGTGGCTAATGCTTTTGAGAAAGTAAAATGGTCCATAGTTCAATTTGTATAGTGTAAAGGGGCTTGAATAATAAGTGGACTCACATACTTCATCAGGTTGTCACCTGACACAGTAATAACAAGAAATAACAGAAATAACAAGAAATTTGTTCACTGTCTTGGTTTATTTTATTTTAAAGGACTGTTCAATGAGAAAAAACAAGTCCATGTACATATTTCAGCAAGATACCAACCTAAAACTTTATATTTCAGTTTATATTTGCCTTTATGTTCACAGGGGACTATTTGCCTAAATCTTTAGAAGGATTATTTATCTACGAAGAAGAAGGTGCTGGGGTTCCAGGTTCTAACAGAAAAGGAAATGATGCTATAGTTGTCGAACAATGGACAGTCATTGAGGTAAGCTGGTGATTATTTAGCAATGCTATTTCCTACTTATATTTTTCTTTGGGTTTGTTTTTTTTTTTTCCTTAGAATGCTTGTACTAGTGATTGATGAACATTTATGGTGGTTTCTTGAAGCCACCTGCATAAGCCAAAGTGTTGAACCACAAAAATCAAGTCAGGCTTGTGGCCATTGATCAGCATGCATAAAAAATATGCTGCAGGGACTGTGGCCTGATACTTGCAAGCATTCAGACCAGCAAATTCAGTCACCAAAGAAAATGTTTGGTTTTGTTGGATTTTTTTATATATTTCTTTCAGACCAATTCAGACATAATTTCAAAAAATGCAGTCCCACTGACAATTTGCTGAAGTAATTTTCAATAAAAAGGGGAAGAAAATAGCCAAACCTAGAAACAGCACAAGAAAAAATTGATTGCGAATTACTAGACTATGCTTTTACATGTATATTCTTAGTAACATTTCACTGCTAAGTATGAACGACTTCATGTTTCCTAGTAAATTTACATGTACTACTGTAGCATGGTAGAGCAATAAAATTATCTAATGTTTTTTAATACTCTAACATTGTAAGATTTTTTTGGCATTAATGAGATCCAAAAGTAATCATTGTTGAAGGATACGAAGGGCTTACTTTTCAAACATTCAATGGTAAATACACTTAACCAATGTGACAAGAAATAACATAAAACTAAGACCTTTCAAATTAAGAGAGGAAAATAGGGAAAAAAATACCCCCCAAAACCCCCCAAACAAACCACTGACCACCAAAACTTACATAGCTAGTATATACTTCATATACATGAAGTATCTATCTATATGAGATGCTTATTATTCACATGTGAAGTAAAAACCTAAATTCATTGAGATGCCTTTTATAGTGTTGAAAAATCTTTAGGTGTTAATTTAGCAACATGACAAGCTTTAACAAGTGAGATGTGCTTTGAATGTCTTGCTGAATCGGGACTCATATCCTAAAGTTAGTGTGTTTTATCTGACTTCGTAGTCTTCCATAGTCTTAAACTTCTGAAATGGTTTTCAGTTTGAAATAATGAATCTACAGCAAACAGCACAGTTTAGTGTCTTCTCAAAGGGTTATGTCATTATAAATTAGGAGAGTCGTTTTAATTTCTGTAGAAATGCAAATAAAACATGTACAGAGTCACTTTACTACTTTTTATGATTATTAATGTAGGGGTGTGAAATTAAAACAGATTATGGACCCTTATTGCACACGCTGGCTGAATTTGGATGGCTCCTGACCTGTGTCCTGCCTACACCTATCGTACGACATGACAGGTACCCAAACAATCTATTACAGCATTTTGATGTGTACCTCCCAGAATTATCAAATGATTACTTGGGTATTTAAATGTAAAAGGAATTAAAAATGCTAATAATGCTAACTGCATATAAAACTTGAGATGTAAGGAGCATTATGGTGTAATCCTTTTTATGATACTGTTTTAGGACTGCTGGCTTCAGTGAGTTTCAAATGAAACTGATAGTCCTGAATTTAAATCCATTGTTTATATCTAAACATGAAAGATTTTATTTAGGAAACTTTTCAGCACACAGCCAGTCCTCAGGAATGGGATTACTCGTGTGCTTCAAGTTTAAACAAGTATTGAAATGTTTCACTAATTTAGGACCTTGGTGAATGACTCGTTTAAACTGTGTTAAAAGTCATGTTGTCACAGGACAGTCATGTTGTGCTTATTGCAAATTAGGGAGAAGAATGTGCTAATCCAGCAAATTACTGGGCTGTTACTCTTCTTTGATGTAGACAATATGTTTTGATTCAAATACAGTACCAAACTATTGGCTTTCATTTCTTTATTGTAGTATTTATTTAGATGAATGAGGGGCTTTATAAACATAAGAGCTCAATAGAAGACCTGGATTCCCTATAAAGCTTTGGGGGGGGGGGGTGTTTGGGGTTGGTTGGTTGTTTTTTTTTAACAGCAACAACAAAAAGATTACTGTGCTTTTCTTTATGGTATCAGGCTAAAAACTGTCAAATGAAATGCTGGATTAAGCATACACCTCTTCATTTTCTCTCCTTTTTCCTTCTTTTTTTCCTTCTTTTTAATTCCCCTCCCATTAGACTAGGATTGCCAAGGTTTGAAAACAAATGTACTGAGGCATGGTTTAGGGCTCATTAAGGACAATGGAAAGAGTGGGGGACTTGAGTAATCTTTGGATCCAGACCTCACTGTATTAAATCAAGACAGCATGAAAAAGGATGTGAATGAAAGGTTCTAAGAGAGTTGCTTCACGAAAGTGAAGTTTTGTTCAAGTGATTTGGCATAATTAAATCAACTCACCCATGTGAGAAGGAGGTCTTTCTGGTCAGGCAGAAGGTGGTGTAGTTTCTTGGGGGCTGTGTTTTTAATAGTTTAACCAATTGATTAAATGCAGAGACAGAAGAAGTTGTGGTAAAACAGTATGGTGTGTTCTGCTAGTATGTTTTTAAGGGACTTTGTTTTGTGTTTCTCTGTAATGTATTAAATTCTGAACTTTTAAAGCTTCTGATCCAGAAAGGAGCAGTTTCCAGAATATGAAAAAAATGGTTATCCATTCAGTTCTTCAAACAAAATTTCATAGCCTAAATGTTTCAGCTTTGAACATGGTGACTTATGGGTACGTGAAACATTGAGCCTGGTTTTCATAAACAGCTGAAAGTTTTGGCCAGACCTTAGACCTTGAGAGCCTTCAGGATCTGGATCTACTTCTGGAAGGATGTGAGTGGAGAATGGGAGAGAAAGATTTTTAGTAGTCATGGTGTGCTGTAGGTCATAGGATGAGACAGAGGTTTCAGCCTCAAACCAGTTCTGTCCTGCAAAGAGGTTAACTGTGCCCATCCCTGTAGGGTTTGGACAGCAAGGTCAAGATTGTCCTGAGCAGCTGCTGGTCAGTCACTCTGTGAGTTATCAGTCTGTGCTTGCAACAGGCAAAATTGTAGATGATCTTTGAAGTCCCTTCCAATCCAAAGCATTCTGGGATTACATGCCTGTACAAAACAGTGCTATTCAGTTTTCTTTAAAAAGAGTTTAAAAGCCCATGAGCAAGAACTCCTAATTAGGGATTAAGAATTCATTGGAGTCCAAAAAAGAATGTATCCATCCTGATAGGCTAAGTAGTGATTGATAAATACTATTTTGAGGCATTGATGTTGGTTATTTATAGAGGAGAAGAAACATGGTTACTATGTGTCTGATATGAACGATGCCATTACTGTGGGGGTGGGTTATCCTAGGAATGCAAGTCAAATGTCTCAATAAAGAAGGACACTTTATGCTGCCGAACAGCTGGTCTGTTCCCAGACTTGGAACTCTGACCTCAAAACCCAGCCTGAATACTAGTGGGCTTCAGAAACACTGGAAAAAAACAAAATGAGCATCGTTTTGGGATGATCTGGCAAATTCATATTTTCGTATTTATTTAAAAATATAATTGGACAAAGTACATAAATAAAAGTCTTATCCAGTAATAAAATGTTAGCAGGGCAGCCTGCTCCCCATTTTTAGTAGCCATATTATTTTGCTGTATTCTCTGTCTTCCTCTTCTATTCACTGCAAAACTATCCCACATCTACAATCTGTTCCTAGCCATTATGCCCACTGCTTGTCTGAAAATGAAGAGTGTGACCATCAGGCTAACACAAGTGCTGCGGTGTGACAGTGTTGTCATGCACTGTTGTGCTGCTTCTCTGGTTTTCACATGGTTAGGATGTGAAGCAGTTTGGAAACCACCAGCTGTCACGTCTGTTCCTGTATGGTTTTGTTGTTTGGAGTTTTTCTCTTTTACAGATGTTCCTCTCCATAAAATAAAATGTCCTGTTGTGTGAAGTGTCGTGCATGTAACAGCTGAGTGTCATGGATCATTGGCCTGTTTCAGGCGGGGCAGCAGTCTGTAGGCCTATTTAGTCCTTTAACTTCTACCTCAGTGGCTAAGGCATGTTGGATGCAGGAAACTTATTCTTGAGAAATGTAATCTTTGCTGTTACAAACAGAGCAATGGTAAATGTAATGTTTGGGAAACCTGCTGAGTTGCTGTTTTGTGCAGTGCTGTTTAAAAAATAAGCATAGTGGGGCTTTGGGGTTTTTTTATTTTGGTCAGCATGCTCTAAAACCCACAGAAATTCCCATCTTCTGTCAGTGTTTCTCTTTTTGCAGGAATGTGAGAAAATAGAGCATGATTAAACAAAAAAGTACATATGATGGAATATTTGTTGCATCCATCCATATATTGGGAATTATATTGTGTCAGCAGTCAATAAAGGAGTTTTGACCTAAAAAAGTGGAAAAGAATCCAAGACAGATCCACAATAATATTGGTGACCTGAAGAGCACCCTGCATTATATACAGCTCTTACTAGTTAAGTGTCTTCAGACAGTAGATTGACAGTAATTACGCCAGGTTCAGAAGTTGTGTATCAAGCATAAAATTAATAGTCATCTTAGGAGTTAAATCTAGTGAGTGGGGAAAAATACGTTAGAAGTTACTTCTCTGGTAACTTAGTACTGCTGCAGTTACTAATATGTCATTATCACAAGTTTACAGAATTTCATGCATGTTTGTGATATAAAACTAGAGTTATTTCTAAGGTGTTTTAAACTTTTCATTGAATGGATCCCTTAAGCCAGGAGACTGTCCCAGGCTGGTGTCTCTCTCATAACTGAAAGTCTAGGTTCTGTGCAGTTCCAAAGGGTATTATTTTGGGAAATTCAGAACACCTGGATGGGTTAAAAGAAGTCATCATCTTGGTCCTTTTGTTCATTTTTCAGAAAACATTGATTAACCTTAGAATGAAGTGCTTTGTATGTGAAACGTTTGTGCATTATAAAAATAGATAAAAAATCAGAGCCATTGGCAGGACTACTTGGCTTCCAGCTTGATGATTGTTTTGGAGGATTTGTTTAATAAAGACATGTAGAAATACAAATATAATGCCAGTGCAGCGTAAGCAGAAAGCAAATTGCTGGTGTTTTAACGAAGGAGTTTCTGTTGCTCTTCATCCCTCTTAAAAGAAGAGACAGGAAAAGGCTTCAGCAGCCTTGCTCTGCAATGACCTTTATTTCCCTTCACTGATTACTGTAGTCCCTGAAAAGGGGCAGTGAGACTACTGTAGTCCCTGAAAAGGGGCAGTGAGACTGTCCTTGAGTGCTGGAAAGCAGGCAAGCAAACACAGTGCAAAACACTGACTCTCTGGTTATTAATTTATTATGACAAACTATTGAATGCAAGTTCTCAAAATGCCCTGACTGATGAGGCAAAGAGGGAATGGGGAGATGCAAGGGAAGCTATGGAGTGGCTTGCTCTAAGGGCTTTTTCTCATTTAAATTCAGTGGAAATCCCACTGTCATTGAGTTCTTTGTGAATTAAGCTCATAGCTGCTTTGTCGTGTGTGGCATTTTAATAAGGTCAGACTTAGAAAATTGTTAATTTACTTATTGTCTACTCACCATCGTGTCTTTCCTCTGTTCTAGTAGAATTTGTACAAGCTGTAGCTTAACGTTTGGGGATTTTTGATTTTCTCTGAAGAAATGCAGACACTGTTACAGAATAAGCTGTAGGCTCTTCCCCATGCCAGGGACTGCATTCAGCCTTCTCATTTAGAGGAGAGGTTTCCCAATTGATGTTATCAAAACAGACATAACTGGGAAGGGAGAGATGCCTAGCCAACTGGAATGAGGTTGCAGGATTGTTGATCTCCTTGTCAGGACATAAAATTGTAACACATTTCCTTTTAATGAATGTAAATAGCAGGGTAGGAGCTCTCAGAGCAGGAAACTGATGAGTTCATTCCTTTGCCTCCTTGTTTTCCCCACAAGCTGGAGTTTAAGGTAGTTCTCTATTCTTATCCAAGGAAGATGTGCAAACATACGCCGTGACCTGATTTCACAATCTTCCTTTCAGTCCAGCTGAGAGACTAAACACAGTCACAAAACCATCACCACTGAAGTATTGATCAGATGCAGCTGAGTGTGCTGGTTTGTGTACTTTGAGAGCTTACTTCCAGAAGCTCTGCTGGGGCAGGCTGTTAACAAGCCCTTCCTGATGTCATAGGAACAGTTTTAATGCCTGATTTTTCTTGGAGTAAGTCCCTAATCGTAATTATAAATTAATTCTGTCAGTCCTAGCCATGGCATGAAACCTGAACCAGTTATCTCAACTTTGTGTGTGGTACTTACAGATTGTGACATACCCATACTAAAGTACAACCTTACATTACTTTAGTAGTTATTTCCATCAGCTTATGCATAATAATACTGGTTTAGGATTGATAGACTAGATAGAATCATAAATCCTTCAAATGACCTCACTACATGTCTCTTTTATGGTGGGTTGTTGGTTTTTTTTGCTACTTTTCTTCATCATGCTCTTAAATCTAGTCACTCTTGTGTGAAGTATTTCAGTGCCTTTCTTTCATATGCCTGAAGCTCTCATTAAATGCTGCAGAAGTTGATGGGAGAAGAGTGTCAAAATGTAGTATCTTGTATTTAGAACAGCAGAGGAATTCTTTAAATCCTTCTATCCTAGACCTCTGGTCTTGAAATTATTGCACTCTTGCGGTGTCACAGAGTCAGGCTTTGTAGCACATAAGCCATCAATGTGCTGACCGAATTTCTGGTGGAAAGATGCTGAAAATGAATACCTTAAAACTTGAAAAGGGTTTATCGTGAGTACGAAAAGAGTGCAACAGTAGTGAAACATCCTGTCAGTAACATCTCTTTGGTTTGAGGAACAAATTTGTCCTTTCATATTTATTTTATCTAAAAGCATTTCTTTGGGGGTAGAAAATAAAAAACATACTTCTTTAAATTATATTTACCACAACAGTATCAACATTTCTGAAAGTTCCAGCACTGAAAACTGAAGTTACTCTTTCTTTTTTTTTCCCTTTATTTATCTTCCTACCATATTCTCTGGTCTTTCCTGTGCATGTATTTCCCATATACAAAACAACCAGTGTCATTTATCTCATGCATGTGGAGCTGAGACTGTAGGTGGTGAAATAGCAAGCTTATTCCAGCTGCATCAGTAAGATGTCATGTTGCAACTGGAAAACACTTTCTACTTAGCAGTAAAGAATGTCACTTCCAAGTTTCGTACCATAAAGTATTGAGAGGTTTATTGAAGCTGTGGATCTATTGAGGTGGGGCCTGTTCATTGTGGTGTCAATAGGTAGCAACATGTTGCTGTGTATGTTACAGTGAAGGTTAGGTTCACTGCAGAGGTAAAGGTGCAGGCTTTGATTTAAAGTAGGAGCTCTGGTACTTAAACTTTCAAGATCAAACATGTTAAATAATCATAGCAATACAGATTTTTTTCTTCTGTATCTGTTTCCATATTTAACACCTTAACCCAGCTCTGTACTTCTTACGCTTTACTTTAAGTGATTACTGAAGTGTTCAGGAATTAATAAAGCAGCTAATGCTGGGTAGTCTGTCCCCCTTCTCACCATGGACTTAAGTCGAACTTAATAGCTGATATGAACTTGTTATGTGACTGATACGATATGTTTATGTTATGGCTTGTTATGTGATTGATATTATGTAACAAGATATGAACTTGTTACAGTGACTATTATTGCCTTTACAATACTGAAATTATTTTATTTACATTTTAGTGAAGGAAATCTGGCCACAAAGCAAGTCATTTTTCTTCAGAGACCTGTTATGTGGAATTCTGCTGTCCAGACACCAGAGGTGAGTAACATCTTTGTGGTATTAATGTAAAAAAATGAGTCATTCACTTAATGGTTAGATGCAGAAACAAGCTAGGCTTCAAAATTAAGGGAAAAAGGTGGCAGAAGAGGGTTTCCCTTGCAACAAGGTCAAGATTGCAGAGGTCTTTGCAGCTTAACTTGTATATTATTTTTTCCTTAGCTATATAGCTCTTAAATTAACCCACAGAGAAAAGCATGAGCATGCTGAAAACCTGTTTTGTGCAATGAAGCTGCTGTGTCTCAGGTGGATAAGGTTGGCTATGCTTAACTATTTCTTTAGAAGTCTTCAGGATCTCTTAAATGTTCTGATTGAAATCTGTTTTACATGAAAACATTTTCTTTTGACCTCCAAAACATCTACTTTCACACTTGTAGAAGAAAACAAGTGTGCAAAGGATATTGTAATCTGGAGGGTAACAGGATAAAGGGATGTTAGTTGCTGTTGCATGAAAGTGTGTGGCAGAAGTAGAGGATTTAAGATTCCTGCAGCTGGACCTCAACAACTCCTTGCCTCTTTTGAGTGAGGCTCCTGTTACCGTGGTTTATAAAAGTGCTTTAGGGATTAAGTAACTGACACTTAACTGTGTTCTACTCAGAGTCAAGGTCACAACAGTTGTTGCACTATATAGTGCTGTAGTAGATCCTGCTGTGGTCACAGAAGAATGAGCTACAGGTGGGCTGCTCTTTGCCAAGTCTTCCAACATCCTGGAAGGATTTTAATTCTTGTTATTTCTGGTTTTCAGTGGCCATTCAACCCTTCTCTAACCAGCATGCCTTAAACAGCTGTGAAAATTATGTACGTTCTCCCTCATGTCAAGCACCACAGTAGAACTTTACAAACTGTCATTCACAATATTGTACACTATTAATTCAGTGATACCCGGTCTCTTTTTCCTCCATCTGTATCAGTAGTTTCACGGGTCTCTAAATTTCTTGCATCCATATTTGATCTTTCTCTGTGATTTCTACTTTCTATCCAGTCTGTTACTGTAACTTTTATTTCTCTTTGCTTAGTGTTTCTAAAGTACGCTCTAACTTCTCTTGTTCTTCTCCAGGCTTTTGCTTTTCTCCAGCCTAACTTCCTTCTCATGGTGTCCCCTGATAATTGTTATTTCCATGCCTGGAAGAACCGCATTCAGCATGCACAATTACAGTCCTGTTTTTCTCTCCACTGCCATCTCAATTCCCAGCTAGTTCTTGGACACTACCTATAATTTATTTCTTAATTCAAAAAACTTGAGCTTCTGGGTGTTTTCCACTTCAGTGTTCTGTGTAGTCTCCCTGGCCAATGTCTTAATCTCATTCATACGCTCTTTTCTCCCAGTTCCTTCAGTTCTCCCTGCGTCCAAGTATCGTCTCCCTTCTCTTTCCTTCAGTTTCTCCCTACATCCGAGTATCTTCAGCTTTCAAAGCTTCTGATGCCTGCTCTCATGCTTGACTTAGTTGTCTTTACATGCTTTCCTAATACATTCCTGAAAGTATTTTTTGGAGTATAATTTTCATATCAGTATTGTAACTATAAAAATATAATTGTGTCAGTCATTATGAAATAATCCTCCTTTTCCTGATACTTCCCTACTTTTTGTAATACACTGTATAATAAGCGCATAGACTCCTGATACGAATACTCTTTCCTTGGTAAGGCATATTATTTCTACCTATAAGCATCTCTTAAAAGGCAGCATAGCTGCATGACACGAGTTAGAATGATTGACTGGATTCTGCCCAGAGATGCAATACAAGTCAGCTCTGTGAAAGCATTCAGTCTGAGCAACTGATGAATCTTTGAGATGTGGTTTAAATTAAAAATAGGGAGCATTATGCTCACAGTTTGAATTCTGTCACCCACTTGTGCATTGATCAGCAGCTTCAGTTTATACGAATAAAATGGTGTGCTTTGTAGTTACCATTTTACTGTGTTGTAATGAGAAGTCTTTGACTTAAGCATTAACATACTGAAAGTAAACAAGAAATAGCTGATTTGTAGCCATTTACATCAGGACTACTGTGTTTAAAGACTGAACAAACTTAGTATCTAAATGTGCTCTTTAGGTACCAGTGATTATTTTACTTTTCCACCAGTAAATTTCAGTGTGCTGAGGTTATTTTAGCATGGAATAAATAGGTGGTGCAGGCTGAAGCTGAAACATTCAGCAGAGTAACATTTTCCTTCTGTTTTTCCAGTTACGTTGGTTTTTCCCCTCAATTTTCATCTTTTTACTTCATTGCTTTTTTACCAAGACGTCTGAATTGGCAAACAATTTAAATTCATAGATTTGTTATTAATACCTAACTAGTACAGGATGTTGTGCTAGCTCTGCAGTGAGTAAATAGATTTCAGGTGCAAAACAGCTGCTGAAATCTGAAAGCATTAACTTTCGCTCTGGAAACTTTAATATACTTATTGCAGATGTCCCTGGATGTGGATAGACACAGCTATATGACTTTATCAACCTCTTGCAAACGTTTTAGTAAAAACCGTTTAATTATTGTGAGTCTGTATTGCTGGGCATTGTTGGGTTTTTAATCTTTGGATCAAAGTTATCCTTTCCATTTCAAAAGGAAATTCTGCTTCAGTAAGAATTGGGGGGAAAAACCCTATTACTTGGTCTCTTATTCCCCCAGGGTCTCTTTTCTCAGGAGGGTATGTTTTATGTCCTCACAGCTCATCGCTCTACCCTGTATATTGATGGGATAGTGCATTATGACCTGGCTTCTGATTTGTGTAATGGTTTAAAGGCTTCTTGGATTACGAGCTGTACTGCCTCAGTGGGCTCTTTGTTCATCACAGACCATTTCCTTTTCTACAGGAATAGTTCAGAGGAGGAGGTCCAAGATAGAAACACACAGTGCTTGAGGTTATTCTTTCTTTCTTTTCTCTTTTTTTTCCTTTATTTCCCTTCAGCAGAATTCTCCATCCTCTTACTGTGGCATCCAGGCAAAGCTTATTTCCTTCTGTTTCTCCTGAGGCAATGGTATTTCCCCTTAGTGTAATTTCCCAGTGTCTCCTGTAACAGCTTCCCTAAATACATTTCCTTTAGCCTCAAGGGCCATTGTTTTTACTGTTTCAAAAGGGTTTCAGGAAAAAAAAAATAGCAATGTATAGAAGGGAGGCACAGAAATTGCCAGAGCACGGCAAAAACATTTGCAGGCTGGTTTTCTTTTTAAAGGGTTTGTATTTGTGCATATTCCCCTGTGAGAGTGCTTGTGTCCTGTGTGCTGAGGCTGGGTTCCTTCTCAGCTGGATGTCCTCCTCCTCTGGACAGGGCTGTGTGCCCTGGGTTAGTAGTGCGTGTGCTGACAGCAAGGCTCCAGGCAGATGGCCAGGGCACTTCTGCCTTCCTGGCCGTGCTGTTCTGCTGTGACTTAAGGCACTGACATTGCCTCTGGAGATGCTGCATCATCACTGATCTGAGTGCCACGGGTAGCTCCTGGTGCTAAAATGAAATAAACCTTTTATTTATATATGATGCCTCAGAGGACCCTTAGCACAGTCTGATAGGTCTGTTGTTTGATTAATTCACAACCTGCTTACTTTGACTTCGGCAGCCATCGCTTCCAAGAAGCGTGTCAGGAGATCCCTGTACTAATGTCAAGCTGTATTTACACCAAGTTCTTCACAGAATCATATCATGGTTTGGGTTGGAAGGGACCTTAAAGATTTTTTTTCCTCTGGAGTTCATAGTTGGAAATAGTGTTAAATGCTGCCTTATGTTAAAGTACCTCTAAGTGAGCTAACATTAAACATCCTCTTGTGTTTCAGAAGAAATCCTTAAGACAAGTTATTGGGGAGGAAAGAGGCAAAGTCTCTAGCAGAAGCGTCGGATTAGATACAGCTACTTCTCGCCCTGTCGAAACTGGACAACCACCCGATGAGTTTCACTTATCTCCTCCTAAGCAATGTTGGATCAAGGAGGGATCCTCCCAGTATGGAGGCTTTCCAGGGTTCAGTAGCAGTGATGGAGTATTGAGAGAACTGGATGATGGACAATTTGACCAGGAAGATGGAGTCACTCAGGTCACATGTATGTGATAAGTAACTGCATCAGATGGACATGTACATAATTCACACAAACGTGTCTGATGTTTTCTTTGGTTTGGTTTTTTTTAAGTCATACTACTTTAAATGCATTGGTATAACCTTTTCCCAGATTCATTTTGTATTTTGTCCTGTTTCTTCACTGTGTTAATCCTGCTGTAGCAATACTCCTACTGCAAAATAATTTGGTTTTCTGTCTCTCTTTAATAGAAGAATTACATGACGGGGTGTTCTGCTAACTTGTTAATGCTTTTGACAAGCAAGGAAGCAAATGCTGCACAACAGTGACAGTTTGAACTGTGTGAGTGAGTAAGGAATGAGGGTGTTTAGTGTTTTCCACAAGCTGGAAGAATGTTATGTTTTTAAAGGGTGTTGTAAATATTGGTAGGGAAAACAAGCTGACTGTTGTTATGTTTTAGTGTAATTTTCACTTGACTTGCCTTGCATTAATGCAAAAGCCTAGGGAAATGTTGTCTTACACTAGAGTTTGAACAGTTTAAGCTATGTTTGTACAGAAAACCTCTGGAGGCTGTAGGAAACAGTTGCTCCTGTAGTGTGATTTCACCTATGCAGGATTTTAATACGTCTAAGCCAAAAGCTGTCTGAGCATATAGCTTGTATAATGATGTGTCAGTAATCTACTCATGAGTGGAAATTCAGAACCACTCACCCCCTGAAAGACAACTTGCAGTCTATGAAAAAGCAGTTTGAGAAACTCACTAAGAAGCACTGGCATCAAGGTGCATGATGATGCTGATAATACATAGGAGGAAGAGGTAGGCTAAACTTAACAGGCCATGTTAGATAATAGACTATACACAAAAATGCTGCTGTGTATATATATATATATAAAGTTTCTCAGCTAAGTATATCTCACACTGGGTAAAGTGTATTCAACTGCATCAGATAGCAGAAAGAATGTTCAAAGGATGAAGTTGCTGTGCTTCCATCCTTACTGTGGGGAGGAGCTGCATGCATGAAGGGAGGTTAACACTGGCAGGGCTTTGTGGGGAGGCACGAACAGGAAGTATTTTAATGCTGCTCTCTTGAAATCACGTCTTAACAGTGGAGAAGCTGAATAAAACGCATCTCCAGGTGGTAAATGTGACTGTAACTAAAAACTGTGCTTTTTTTCAGGCAGTTTTAGAAGCAGAAACTATAAATGCTTATCACAGTGAAGCCAATGCAAAATAATGTGATGAAAATGAGAATTGGAACAAGACTGAGCAGATGTATTCAGAACACTCCTCTCTGTGGGCAGTACAGCTCTTGCATTACTCAGGGAGTCTGATACCTGTCCCTGTGTGCCGTACTGTGATCACTGAGAGGAGTGTTGTGGATGCATTAACTGCAGCACCCTGCTCCAATGGGGTGACATCCACCAGCTGCTCTGGGAATCTCCCTTTCCCTGGGGTAGATGGTGGCACTAAACGCAGTGGGGAAATAGATGCAGTGACAGGAGCACCGCTGACTGACTCCAGACAAGCACCCCAGGAGATGGCCAGGATGGGGGAAGTGAGCTCGGAATATTCCAAGTTATATATACTTTGATAGTATATCAAAGCAGTTACCTTTTATAAAGCAGTTTACCTGCTCAAGGTGGCTGGGTAGTGGATCCTAAAACTGAACTGCAACTATTTAAATGATACAATGTATAAAGTAATAAATTGAGTGCAGTTAATCTTCCTACAATATATTCATTGGATAAAAAGATTAATTGAATCTTTTAACTGAGATCTTTTCACATCAGCTGTTGAGAATGCAAAAAAATCAGATAAATTTGTATCTTTTAATCAATGGGAAGCCCACAAGGGAGATTCCGGTTTGGAACAAGGGTAGAAATTGAGTATGCTCTGGATGTCCACATGTACACTCTAGAATATCCCCACTTCTAGCCAAGAAGGCTTTTGTTCTTGAAATGACATAAAGCCACGTTCCTTTTCAGTAGCCCCAGTTTTAACTGCACTTTAGTCCTCACTCTTGAGTCTCACAGGTGTCGACAGTGCTGCAGACCTCTAAATTTCTTTATGGTCTTTTTAATTCCATGCAAATGCATTGAATTCTCTCCTCTGAACCCACTCAGCAATTCCTATAGTTAAGGACAGCTGGGGTTTTTTAATGTCACTTGTCTCTCAGTATCTGAAGTTGCTGCTGCTGTAGAAACACGAATCTGGATTGTTTTCCTAGCTCTGTTGTCTTTCACCTCTCAGGGCTACATTTAGGCTTTGTATTAGAATAAAAGACAGTTCTTCATCTAGAGAAAACCTCCGCCTGACAAGAGCCAAGGTAGATAACTGTAGAGTGAGTGGCATGGAGAGGGTAGCACGGGAATAAATTCCTCAGCGGTCTTGTTTTGACTCAAGGGGATGATGGGAATGGTAAGTAGCAGGTTTGAAACGAATCACGTTATCACTTCAGCTGACTGTAGAACTCCTGGCTGCAGCACACTGCGTATGAAACTGCATGGATTTAAAAGGGAAAACATGGCCCTGTTCTGTCTGAGCTACTGACCCAGGAACTGTTGGGACACAGTGAAAGCTGCTCTAGCTGAGTGCATATTCATCTGTCCTCCAGATTACTGTAAGCACCAGTGCTCATCCCTGGTGGGCATGTAGCTGAGAGCAGGGTCCTGCTGGCAAGGCTTGCTTTCAGAACCGGGGAGTTTGTGCTGGGTGCGCTCAGCCTGGGTGAAGGCTGTGCAAGGATTAGCTGACTTCATGCACCAGTTGAAGAGCACAGAACAAATCACCCATGTTCCTTGAGCATGGATGCTGAAACAGAAATAATTGAAAATGCTTCTAAAACACATCACACAAAATTTTCCATTTAGTTCCTTACAGTTAATATTCTGAAGGCCAACTGTGGCTTAGCCAGAAGAGTGAAGAGGGCAGGGTGCATTTTGGGTGTAGGGTGTTATAACAAAAGCTGCTTGTTTTGTCACCTGGTCTTACCCAACTAGAGCATTAAGGTGTGCCTTTATTAGTGCTGTGACCAGCACCAGCCATTAATTAAACAAAGCTTGTTGATCAGAAAAGCTGTCAAAGTAAGCCTGGCAAGATGGGGTTTTTGTATGTTCCTATTTATAGAGAGATGTATGTATGCACACACGCTGTTCAGTTTTCATTTTACCAGAATGTATTTTACATGCTCATCTTTTTACTGAAAGAACTGCAAATCAAACTTAACAGCACGGCCACAAAAAAACAAAGTACTCTTATTTATTCAGTAACAGGGCTTCAATTAGGAGCCTCTGTGCCGGAAATGTAATGGAAAAGTCCCTTACCTGTTATGTGACAACAGCTCTTGGAAGAACAGAGATAGAGGCAACTGTTCAGGAACCCCTGCAAAGTCTGTTTATACTTTCTGATGCTTAAATTGTTTGGAGAGGAAATACTTCTTTAGTGTTTACAAGCAGGAAGAAACCGTCCACTGATACTGTGCCCTGCTCCTGATCGTCAGAACAGTTTATTTATGTTCCTGGTCAGCTGCAGTAAACTGCTGCTTAACCTCAGTGTTTCTGATCTGTAAAATACTGGTTTCTGTTTGTAATGCGAAGATCTGGTCTATGGTTCTGATAGGAAGCTTCTCACCATTAAAAGCACTTACTAAATCAGCTGCCAGTTTCTTCATTACGTTTGCCTCGTCCTGACAAGACCCTAAATGTGTTACATCAATGTATGCCTTTCCTCAAGCTAGAGCTCCTTTGGAACTGCTATCTTTGCAGTTTTGACTACAGCTCCATGCAGCTCACAAAGCACAGCCATCTACTAAAAGCTGATCGGCCTTGTTCTTAATCTTCTGAAGGTAGAATGTGCAGGCTGCTGTCTTGACAATTCCCTATGGCTTGATTCTGAGAACAGCGTTCGCTAGGATTTAGACTTTCTGAAGCCTAATTCCTGTGTCAGAATTTAGACAACTGGAATGGATATGTGAACATTCTGGACTTCAGGTTAGTGTGATTCAGAAGAGACAAAAGTGGTTTAGAGGAACTGGTCTGGTGACATGTTCTGATGTGTTTCAGCAGCTAAAGTTTAACAACCTCCAATATAATTGAAATAAGGAAAGTAGCAAAATCACCATAACTGCCTTCTTGCAAGCTGTGTTAAACCAAACATCAGGAAAAACCTCAGTGACTAGGGAAAAAGCTTGTTGAAAGTTAACGCTTTGCTTGCAATGGGCCTTTGCATCTGTGACATGCTGTCATACTGTGCTTATTGGGGCATCCGGAAGGTCCTCTTTGAGATCTTCCCTGTTAATTGTAAAACCATCATTTTGTGATTTGAGAGGTATAAATTTGAGCTCTGACTTCAGGATGCCAATGAGTATTAAATTTCTCTGCTTTTGAAAGAAGAAATAACATTTCACTTGAGCTTACCGTGTAGCAGAGATGGGAAAGCACTGACCTTCCTGCTGGAAGCACTTTGGCGCCTGTGTTCTTGGATGACATGAAGAACGAGAATAACTTGCCAAAATATAGCAGTATGGATAAAGAAACAGTTTAATTTTATCCTTTTTTTTACAATATAATTCAAAGACAGTCTCAGTTCCCCTATTATGTAGAGTCTAAGTCTGTTAATATTTATTAGACAAATCAATGGTTTGCTTAGGCTAACTGAAGTTCTATGGTACCGTCAGGCACATGTGTGTACACAGTACTCATGTAAACAACAGCAAGGGAAAATACAAGCAGTGTTTCACTTAGGCCTTATATAAAATCAGATTAGTAGAGCAAGTTAACTTTACAGTGCAAATCCCAATGAGAATAAACAGGACCAAAACTTCCCAAGTTTTGTTTTGAAGTGAAACTCTTTAAAGCATAAGAGGACAAAAAGAGGTTTTAAACTTTTAATGCAGTCCTGAGCACCACATCATTCGCTTCAATTTTGCAGAGGAAATGTCATTAGCAACACCAGTGACACGGGTTTGCCCATCTCAGTCACCATGGCCAACAGCAGCATGCAGTGTCTGCACTGCAGAACCACCCTGGATGGTGCTGCAGTGGACTGTAACCAAGCTAAATACATCGTACTCCGTCTAGAACACAGTTCTCCTATCTGCAGCACCAACTTCACCATAGCTATCACAATTGAGTAACCTGGTCCATACGCGCAAGTTACAGCTACATGTATAGACAGCAACTAAAGTACTTTCACTCAGACAAAACCTCATGAGATTACCCTGCTGAAAATTAAATACAGTGATAACCACGAGACAAAAAGAGCTGTTGAAGTACTTAAGTTCAGTCTTTCCATTTTCTCATTGTTTAAATTCCCATTACATCCAGGTGGTACAGTTGCTTGAGGTGTGCTTGATTCATAGAAAGAAAAACAGAATTTAAGGCATGTTTAGTAGCATTATGAAAAATTACTTATTAAAAATAGGTGGATTCCCTTCTTTCCAAGTAAGTTTAATGTAGAAAACGAAGTGTAGCTTACCAAAACCAGCAGTGTTAGCCCAGTCTGACCTGCTTATAGAAATAAAACAAGGGCCCTTGGCAACCTCAGACAGAAACAACCAGCTAACTTCTTAAACAGCTAAGTAAAATATCAGAACACTGCTAGTGCTTTTAGACCCTGCATTCATGTAGGCTTAGCAGTATGTCTGCTGTATGCATCTCAAACATTTAATTCTATCATTCTAGACATAACACAATTAAGCAGCACTCATGGAAATTGTCAGTTATTGCAAATCTGCAAACACAACTTGAAATAAACACCTGATAGGGAACAGAAGCATGAATCCAAATCTTTCTGTCAAAGAATATAATGATGGTGAACGAAGAAAAACAACTGTATGTTTGAAAAGAATAATTAACTCTTGCAAAGAATCGGGGTCAGTATTTCAGATACTTAGAAGGTTTATACTAGGAATACAAGCAAAGACTGATCTAGTGTGTTATGTAGTGTAACACGAGTATTGATGAGGTATAATCTGTAAGCAGTTGCCATAAATACACACAGGTATAAGCCATTGACTTCTCTGTCACGGTTACTCTGTAGAGAAGTTGCGGACTGGAGATCAGCAGAAGTCTGCCTTAGCAGGATGGAACCTGTCCCCTGCTGTACACAAACCTCTTCTGCTAACAAAAGTCCAGAGAGAACGTTAGACGTATAGCAAGAATATAGATGTTCAATAGCATAGTGAAATTGTCCTTTTGGTATTACTAGTACTATAGATCCTATTAGTATTTGGATATACACATACAGGAATATGCACATCCAAAAAGTAAATCTTCAAAGCCATTTTAAAAAAATAGAAGCTAAATTAGGAATACGCTACATTGCAAGAAGCTTCCTGCAGAATTATATATTGAAGGTAATAATCTTTGAACTAAGACTTAATATAGCTACTGCATTGAAAAATGGCTTGCTGTGAAATCTTAATCTCACTTTATTCCCACCCAATCAGACACATCTTCAGGATTGTGATTCAATGATTGTTTAGCAGCAGTTTTAGAGAACTGTAAATTCTTTTATTAACAGGCATTATAAACAGATACTACTACTTTTATTTAAAAACCATGAGTGCCACATTGATGAATATACAGCTCATGAATAACTTAAAGTATTTCCCATATTAAAAAGGCAATGCACACAGCATACAAAAAGTATACTAAACAAAGCTATGAGGATACGTGATTGAAGTGTCTAAAATGATATATACAGTACATAATTAATGTTT